CCCGCTGTGCCCCTTGGTGGCGGGCACCGCGGCCCAGAATGTCCAGGTGTCCCATCCACATCCCGCTCAGATGACACAGACCCACCAACGTCTCCACAAACCCCTCCGGGATTTCGGGATTTCGGAGCGAGAGGCCCAGCCTTTAGCCTGCAGGTGGTGGGCTTGTTAGCGGGAGCCTTGCCTTCCTCCGGACCCCGAGTTTGGCTGGTCTGTGGCTCAGTTGCAGTCTCACCCGCCCCCTTGTCACTTCTAGGTGTGATGTGGGCGACATGGCTCGCCAGGGCCTCCTCTCTCACCTTATCTCTGAACTTCCTGTCTTGTACGCGTTTTGAGGGAGAAACCCTGCAGCCTTCTGATCCAGCGTTTCTGTCCACCTAAGCCTGAATTTCTAAGCCTTCTCGATTAGAGCGTTCGTTTTCCGGTCACTCGTTTTCTCCTTAAAGACAAAGAAATGATGCTCCAAAGACTAAACGTGAAGTGGTCACAATCGTTCAGTGCTCCAATAGTCTTTAATCATGATCATTAATAACTGGCTTTGGACCATAACCACTGCCAGAAGGTTTTGGAAGCTGCCAGTCAAGATGCAATTGTCTCCAGTGCTAAGGCTCTTTGGAGTTTTCCTGTTTATGAAAACTCCCATGCACTTCTGGAAGTAAATTGTTGTTTTTTTTTTGTCATAGGTCAGGAGCAGATGTCACAGTGAACACCCCCGTGTGGGTTGAAAACCTCTGGCAGAGAATCCATGCCCTATACCACATGCTGCATGTTTAACTCTGTTTTTAGGCACTTCCTGGGAAAGCTTGTTAGATGCTCTCTCAGGTCCTCAGAGTACAGCGAAGAAATCTGTTTTCCTCTTTTACAAAGGCCAGAAGCACTGGCCCCGGGTGGGAGGGGCCTGGGGAAGGGGAGTTCCTGCGCAGGTCTCTGCAGGCAGTGCTCAGCCTGAACTGTTTACCTCTGGCATTTCAGAGAATGAAATCAGGTGGAAGACCAGCTGATCCCGCAGGAACATCTGTCCTTACGTCAAATCCAGAATGAGTGTGGCCTTTCGTGTATCGGAAATAGGTCTAAAGAATGAGCTTCATGCCCGCTGCTCTCCGGCTTCTAGCTTAGATAGGATTTCTCAACAGCATGCTATTGACATTTGGGGCCGGGTCATTCCTTTTTGGTGTAAAATGTTTAGCAATGCCCCCCCGTTTCTACCCACCCCATACCAGAAGTACCCCCCAGCTGTAACCTCAAAAATGTCTTGAGATACTGCCTTACGTACTCTACAGGGTAAAAATCCGCCTAATAGCCACTGAGTAGATAGGATGAGTCCAAAATATTTTCAGCTGAGTGTAACATGTGAGGCAGTGAAGTCCTTGCCTGCTTCGCATTAGGATCTTCAGGTAGCAGCTTTAACACTGTTGCATGGAATCTTTGGCTCTGTCATGCCAGTGTAGACAGGCAGGGTTAGCCTGTGTCTGAACCACAGTTCCAGGTGGCCATACCTTGTCAATACAGAAAGATAACCACAATGTCTGCAGTCCCAGTGGGATTGACTGAGCTGCCCCGGGGGGGTGGGGGGTGG